GATCATGGTCTTTGAATCAGCCTGCCCATGGTTAGCTTCTGGACAGCAGGTTCACAGGGCACCTAGCCACAGTCTTTCCTCACTGGGGTGGAATGTATTATAAATCTGTTTAACTTTTAATGTTGCATCCAAACATAAAAATTAGCATCTGCAGTTTTATGCACATCAGTGTCTTGTTTCAGGAAAATGCTTGTCCTCTTTGAGGGTCATGTCTAAGTGGCCACCGTAATCCATATTCTTGGTGGCTCCCTTCTTCCCTCTCCCTCCAGGTCTTTCACAAACCCCTCCTGTCTCCTCCTTCCTTCCATCACATGTTGGGATCCTTTCTTGGCCCCCTCCATGGTGGCTGTTTGGCAGGTGCCTTGTGCCTGCTCCTTCCCACGTGCAAAGCATAGGCCGCCATCTGTCCTTTTCCTGGTTATTTTAGTCCCAGCTGCTTATTGCGAAAGAGGGAGAGCCTGTGTGCCTCTTGCCCCGGCGGGCTGTCTCTCTGCTTTGGCTGAGCTCCCCCACCTTGCCTTCATGACCATCACTGTCTGCTTTTGAATGTTCTGCACGGCCTGTAGTGCCCTTCTTTCTTTCATACCTGTCTGCAAGCGTTCTTATATGATGATTTTGAGCATTTGGATGGGAAGCTTGGGGGAGGGGGTGCAGCCTCTTGAGAGTGTTTGTGCTTTTTCAGTGGCACGTTCAGCTCCTTTATGGCTCCTCAGGGTGGCCGGAGGTCCTTCTGGCCACTGCAGAACTTCCACAGGCAGAGCCGACCCTGTTCCTTCTCTGAGCCACACTTAGGACTTCAGATTGCACTGAAGCTTCCTTATGATGATTTTGACTCTATGGTTAGGAGGTATGGATTCTGCAAGCCCCACCTAGATCCCAGATGGCAGAACTTATTTCTTTTCTGATGCCTGACTCAGTTGTGATGTTGATTAGTGGATGCTTGTCCAGATCCTGTGTTATCTCAAAGAAAGCCTTTGCCACGTGGCTGGCGTTTTTATTTGCATTTTTTATATTTATATTCAGCCACTTGATCCTCATAGGTAGCTCACAGCATGTGCATACCACCTGTTCCACCCACTGACACTGTGTGGGATGTTAGTGCTTGGCTGGGCCAATGCATGAAGTACTGCTCAACAGTGCCTGATTGAAAGGGTGGATGAAGCAGGAGGCAGGTAATGAGAAGCAGGCACCTAACAAGTAGTGACAAAAGGTGGCTGAGGGAAGCCAGTACTTAACAGCATTGCAACAGTTGTAGTTAATAAGAGAAGGGATGAAGATCCCCATAAACAAGAAGAAGCAGAGTGGAAATTAATGCTGAATGCTTTAATCAATGCACGCATACATGTAATTAATGGCAAAATTCAAATGGAACTTCTGTTAAGAGTCCGGTGAATCAAATGGGAGTAAAGCCGACATGTGTATAAGAAACTCCTGGCAGATTTTTGTGCACATTATGTTTAAAACACTGTCCCAAATAATCAAGGATTTTTTTTAGCATCATGCAATCAAAAGGCTCATTAGTAAAAGAGCATGTAGTGGACTATTTACACATATTTTCTTGGTTCTTGAACTGGTTCATGAATCGATTGGTGTACAATGAAGTGCCTAATCAACTAAAAAAAAACATTGACAGCCCTAGTTTCAATACTTCAGCTTGTGTGAACAGTTTTTTCAAAGTGCTGAAGACTAAGGTCAAGATCTCACTGGAATTGGCCATTGCTGCTAGTGACTGCTACTATGGGTTGCTTAAATGCTCTCTGGAATGAAAGCCTGATCTTACAGTGGTTGCTTGTGTGTGTTCTTTCTCAGTGTCTGCCAGGCTGCTGCTCTTTGGTTTATGATACTTCTGGTGATGTGGAAAAAGTTTATAATGCAAGTAACAGAAATCCTGAACCAGATTTGATCAAATACTGCAGAGGCTCCTTCAAGGTCTGCCTTGTGGCTCTAATGTAGCAAAGCAGGCCTCACTGCCACTGTATTTGCACAAGAAACTCTGAAGTAATATGACATCCAGCACAGGTTTTCAGCTGGTTAAGCATATATTCTGCTTTTTGTTAAATCATCCTGCATTGAGCCACCTAGAGCACTTGAACATATTTTTGCACCATACTTTCCCAGTTGTATGGCATACATTAGATGACACAGTCCAAGTTGAACCTGAAGGGTTACTGAGAGCCCCTAATCTGTTTGCTTTTTCTAGTTTCATTTGTTTACTTCTTCCAGTATTAATATAGGATGGAGACCAGTGCAGGTGGCCCCACTTCCATTTCAGATTCTTTATACATTCAAGTAATATCTCACTTCTTAGTGAAAGCTGTTGAACTGGCCTACAAGCTTATTGAAACTTGTAAGAAACTGGATTATTCATCTATTGGCTCATCTCTAATGCTCATTTATTACAAAAATGGATGGATTGTGTAGCTGTAGTTTAAATACTCGCATTCTGAATGGCACATGCGTCCTTTAGTGTACATCAGTTTGATTTTCAGCTTAATACTGTGCTAGGACTTCAAGAGCTTTGGTGGTCTCAGACGAAGACCTTTTTCCTAGAATTTGTCAGGGACAATAATTCTCTGTTGATTTTATTGTACCTTGCTGTGCCTTTGATCCAACAGACCATTGGCTTCTGTTAAATTGGCAGAAGGACTTGGTGGGATTTACAGAAAAGACAGCTCCCCTTTGTTAGCCATATGCAGGGGACAGTTCTAAGGGAAAAACCTCCTGGAAATCATCACAGGTGGGTACTACCACTACAAATGTGATTCTTTAACATCAATAGGGGACTATTATGAATGATAACCTGGAACTGTGGAGATGCTGGTTATAGTGTTCAGTTCTATTTCATGAACTGCTGGATAGCTCAGTGGTTTAGGAGGCTGGGAATTCAATTCTCCAAAGGGCTTCCTTGACTGGACTTGATGATCCATAGGGTTCTTTACAGCTTTGCAGTTCTAAGATGATGATGATGATGATTTTTACCAATGCAAAAGCCATTGGTACTAGGCTGGGATCCATGTCTACCTCAGAACATCTCCGGAGCACATTCATCTATTTACACTCAAATATTGGTATTCAGCCATAAGTCAAAGTCCTGATGCTCTAAAGAGCTTAGACATTGTATAATTTATGGAAAACACCTTCATCTCTATGTGCTTCCCCATTAATGTTAAATCTGGAAATAAAACTTACTCTATACTCTGTACTCTAGTGCCTACAGCTGTGAAGAGAGTGAAGAGAAATAGGACATTTTTTTTCATATTGCCCCCCCCTACCTACTTCAAGGAGACAAATCTATTCTCCAGACTTCTAGATTTTCTGACATCACATCAAGATGTTTTGATTTAGCCCAGTCTTTCAGCTGAAGAATTAATAACATTTTGAGACAGTTCTTTTCAGTGATTAATGTTGTTTCTATATACACACCTTGCTTTGTGAGTTGGGGATTTATTACCCTATCCCTCCTGAATTGTCTACAGAAAATAATCCTGACTGAACGTAAGTGTGATGTCATATTGCTTGCTTGACTAGGATTGTGGAGACCCTGACACAAATCTTGGCTCCGCCACAAAGATCAGTGGGTGATCTTGCATAATTTCTCCCAGCCTGACCTGCTCAACAGGACTGTGAAGATAAAATGAAGTACGTGTGGGGGGCAGCGGGGAGGGAGAGAAATGTATACAATGCCTTCAGCTCCTTGGAGGAAGGCAGAAATTAGTCTAACAAACACTAGGATACAAGGGATTCTCAGAGCAATGTTGTCTCTTAATATTTATCACTTACCCATTATTGCCTTGTGTTCTCCCAGCAGATAATCCATGAGGGAATGCAGGCTTTGACATTGAAAAAGCTTTCCATTCCTGCTTTAACTACTTCTCCCTCCTTTTATTCCAGCCTGTCATCTGCCCATCTTCTGCCCCATGTTAATGTGCTGTTTTGCAACTCATGTCACATACTAACATAACCATGTTACGTCAGACCATGTTAGACATGCCAAAAATCTAAAACGGCATGAATGCCACTGCATATAGAAAATTATTTCCAGTTTCACCTTCTATGATTGGTTTTTTTTCATTTATGTTTCTGATTAGGGTTTTGACCATTTTGAAGGAGATCTCAACAACAGATTAAGTGTTCATTTGTCTTTCCCCTTAAGGGCTCCTCTTTTACACAGTCTTTACACAGTCCATTTATAACAGAAATCTTCTGCATCCCTTTCTACATCCTTTTAAAAAACTGGGCTGTAAAAAGATGATTGGTTGATCAGTATTAAGGGGGTCAGAGCAGCAGTATTTTTCCCCTTGTGTACCATGCCAATGGCAAGAGTCTATGCTACTTTCCTCTAACATGGGAAAGGAAATATATTAATTTTTGTCCTACTTACATAAGTCCTTTTTTCCAAAAAACAAAAAAACAAAAAAAACACCTTCAGCAATATAATAGGCTGTAGAGGAAATGCAGAAGAAGGGGCCAGAAAAAGAAAGAGGCAAACAAGATGACAGGATATAGAAAGGAGAATAAAAGAGAAAAGCATGGTAAATAATTAGATCCTCCCCATTTATCCCCCAGGGTATGCAAATAAAATTAATGAGCAAAGAATCACAACACCCCACCAGGTAAGGGTGTTTCTTTGTTTTTATTATTCCCACTCCCCTTGCACAGGTAGGGGAAACATAAACACAAGGAGGGAAGTCATGGCATGTCCAAATAAAGGCAAGGGGAGGAGGGGAACCCAAAATCCAAGTCTTGAATCCACCTACTGAATCCAACAATCCTGTGTGCAGGAGAAGCAACACCAAAGGAAGAACAATCGAGAAGAATCAAGGTAGTCAAAGTAGAGGAATCTGCACACATGGATGGAGAAGCTAAAAAAAAACCCATCAATTTTTTTGTCATTCCCTTTTGCATAGAGTTTTTGTTGTTGTTGTTGAGGTACTCTCTCTCTCTCTCTGTGTGTGTGTGTGTGTGTGTGTGTGTGTGTGTGTGTGTGTGTGTGTGTGATTTTTCCCTGCATTTTTACTTTTTTGTTCTAATTTTTTTAAAAAGATGTGATGAACCACTTTAGAGACTGCTTGAAGCTGCCAGGAAAAGGCCTCATCAGGTGTGGTTCTTCCACAGATTTTGAATTTGTCCTGTGCTTTATTGAACACAGAGCTTTCTTTCTTTCTTTCTTTTTGCAATGAGCACAATGAGATTTGAACAGTACAGACAGTGTGTTCCTTATCTACACGATGAGGTGAGTCTGTTTCAATCACTAGCATGATAAAGATGCAGAATGGGCTTATATACAAGAGGAACTGCCTTCACATTACACACATCATCACCCTACAAAGTAGTAACCCTCCCCACCCAGCAAATAACAAAATATTAAATAATTGATAGAATCTTTGCATTTTCTGCATAGTCCAGAACAATGGGATATGCATGAAGATTGATGGTTGTCTTATGTATAATATCATCACATAGATCCCCATGTAAGTTACTAAACTTAACTATAATACTGCTTTACAATGCAACCCACCAACCATAATGGGGAAAAAAGAAGCCAGGGGCCGACACAATACATTCTTTGGCAAATGTAATGCATACATCTGCAGAGGCTCTTACAAACAGCTGAGGAAAAAGACCAAGGCACCACCTGGTCCTTTGCATAGGATGTTCTGAGTGGAACTTCTTGCTTGCTTTACATTGTAGACCAATTAAATTTTTTTGTAATAGTATGTATGTATGTTAGCGGGCATTCAAGTTAAACGAACAGTGATAGAGTGATATCTATTTCCCTTCTTTTTTATTAGTCTAAGTGAAAGATCAGGAATGAAAGGTCAGACTTCTGTCAGTGGTTCTTTCCTTTATTTGTGTTTTTCTGGATCAGTGGATTTTAAGCAACTAAAATATGCCAATATTACGTTATTCCCTGTTTTCTGGGATAGCCAGTGCTGGGCAATCAAGTATCCTGCATTTCAAGAGTATGTTACAATCTAAACAATTTCCAGTGTGCTTAAACCACCTATTTTTCTTGCCAGACATTTGGGTAAATCACATTTAAGGCTAGTCAATGGGCAGTTAAAAATACTGTTTTCTTCAACAGTTTTAAGTATATGCATAAGGAGTGCTTTTGTTTCTTAGAACTTTGAAGAAAACTGGATTTTAGATTAAAAAGGTGACACAAATGGTATTTGATCACCCAATAGCATGCCTGGGAAGAGATAAAACAGCAGGTATATTTACACAAGGATATCCCTACTTTGTCCTTAAAATTTGGGGCTGAGAATGGCATATATATGCAGATGTGAATATACAAACTCCCACAGAATTGGAACCCAGGTTGTTCTTGTGAGCTTCCTTGACTCAAGCAAACAATTAATTGAATCCTAGCAAATAACCACTGAATCAACAGAAAGGTGCTCAGTAAACACATTAAGCATAAAAATGGAAAGGTGTCATGGGACTCCTGGCTATTAACATGCTTTGAAAATCCTATGGAAGAGGCCTGTAAAGCCAAAGGATGCCACCCAAATGCAATGATTTATTTCCACATAATATTGGCAATTTTTAGAAGAAACAAAGGGGTGGTGGTGTAAAAATGTATTTTACTTGCTTGTAAGTACGTTCACACTCTGGCTCATGGAGCAGTCAACATATACACAGGAATGATGCAACAAGGATATTTTGTCTTCCTCAATGCTTGTTCCTCCTCTGATTTTTGAGATGTTAACCTAGAAGAAGCATCTGCTTATTTTCAGTGGAGACAATTCTTTCCTGCTATCTTATTTAAACAGACTCTCCCTCCCCTGGTCCAAATTCCTGATGTAAAATAATGTGGACGGAAAAGCTCCTTTTGTCCACAGAATGCTTCTGATGCAGCAATGCATTTCTACTGGTAAGAAGAGGGTACTCTTCACCTATATATCCTGCCTCTGCAGTCCACTGTCCTGTGCATGGAAATCAGCTCCACGAGGTTGGGAGACCCTCCAGAGCAGCATAAGAATTGCATCTGGGGCCTGCAAGGGGAGACAGAATTGGCAAGATTCCTTTCTCCCAGAGGCTTGAGCATCCTTATAAACTCTGCTTTGGGAGTATTCTAACTGGAAGGGATACTGGAACTAAAAAAGGAAAAAAAAGCAAGCAAACAAAATTAATGCATATATGCCTGCTTTGCATCAATTTGCACTCTCCTCATTTATTTTAACCCTCGCATTTGAGAATTTGCATTAATTACAATATTTTAAGAATTGGGTATCTCACAGTATTGTGAGAAGAGGCTGGTTACAGAACTGAAGTGAATAACATAATCAAAGATTAGAACTGAGGCGCACTGCCCTTGCTCCTCAAACACTCCCTGTAGGGCCCCCAAAGCTGAAGGGGCCCCATTGACTTTTTTCCTGCTGCTGAGAAGTTGCTCCTAGGTTCCGAGATGACAGTTTTCCCACTACATATAATTAACAGGAACAAAGATCTTTGTGAACATGGGTGGGGATGGAAGAGCCTCACCCAAACCCCATCAATCCTACTTCTTCAGATTGCTGTATTTCCCTTTGCTAGCAGCTCCAGCATAAAATTAGCCATTCTACTGACAATCTAGGTGGAATCCACCAATTCCCAGAGAACCCTAGAAATCAAGGGGTAGGACATAGAAGTTTAAAGCTTTGCCACTCTATGCAAAGAATGTGCAGAGCAGGAGACAGAGAGAGGGTACATGTGTTTTATAAGTGTGTAAAGAGTATGCAGACACACACAAGAGTATGTACACACATGTATGACTCCCAGGGGACATTGGTTGTGGCCCTTGAGGCCAAAAATGTGTACCCTAGGATAACCAGTAACGGAGGGCACAAAGATTCCATCCCTCTCAAACAAAAAGCTTCTGCAGAATATTGCAGGTACGTTTTCTTCTATGCGTCCACAAGGACAAGTAATTAGCTATTTTAAAAAGCAGGTGAAAATTGTAGGAAGCCAAATTCTGCTCAGTTTTTATGCATGCAAAAACAAGGAAATGAATGGCCCCAAGAACAAGGAATTTGCTATGCTGGCTGTTGGTAAGACTTGGCTAAAATGTATGAGCAACCATGAAGTTCAGGAAGTAAACTTTTCTCCCCACCCCCACCGCCCCCTTGTGTTACTTATTTCAGAATACTGCAGCTCCACTGAGAGAAGAGAACCCCCAAACCTTCATCCAATCCCTATATAGTCAAATGCATGGCAGAAGCTGAAGGCAAGAGAACCAATAAATGGTTTTGGTTCAGTACCAGCTGCCAAAATATGCCCTTTCCTCCTCTGCAACAGGTTATAACTCTTTTGCAATGAGAACACAACTGTTGCAGATGTGCAATAATTTTGGGTAATAATTTTGTTTTTTCTTCCTACTTCTTATCATAGTTGCACAGTATATTGAATGGACTACTTCCCACAAAATGCACTGGCACTCCTGTCTGCCCCACATGTACATTCCAGTACATAACAAGAAGCGAAGGACATCTTGGAATGAAAGGGGAGAATTATTCTTCAGAGGAACATGTCTGCCATTCAGGTTGGGGTGACATTTCAGTTTAGTTTTACCATAACTTCTTGCTTTTTAGAAAACTGTGGATTTGTTCATTTTTTTTATCCTTTTTACAGATGTTCTGGACAAAGCATCAAAAACAGTTATATTTATATATCTATTTATATAGTTCTTCATTTTGCCATTTGGGTAGGTTGACATCATTCCAGCCTCCTGTCTGACTCGACTCTATATTATATATGTGATACGCTGCCAAACTTCAGCCTGCAAGATTATGACATACTGGATGGATGCCGTCAATCTTCATGTGGAACAGTGAGGAAAGAAGTCCTAATTGCTTCAACCAACCTATGGAGACAAGGGACAGAATGGGTCAAAAAGAAACCCTTGTGGAACTCGGGGAGAATGACCATGGTCTTTCCTCCTCTACCACACTGAACCAGACAGTTCTCCCCAGCTTTTGAAAATTGTTGTCCATCATTTGGAGGTGTTTTTAACAATACAGCATTACTGGAGAACAATGAGTTGTATGCAGCCTTGTTCTTTTCTAGTTCCAGTCCATACCGCTATCAGAAGAGGACAGCACAGGCCATATTGCTCACATTCCTCTCTCTGTTAGAGGTTCGGGAAGCCTCAGGTGAAAAGAATTGAAGGCCACAGAACCAAAGAACAATTCATGTGGGGCAGTCTGAAGTATTGCCATGCCATTAGCAACAATAGTAGTAGGATTACTGGCCACAGGCCTGCTTTTGCCATCATCTAACGAAGTCGCTTAGCTGAATTACAAAGGACATGAAGTTTTCAATCTGGTGGTAGCAAATACATGATATTCCAGTACGTTCTGTAGTCTTAAAGATGAGGGTGAGTAAAAAGGGTAGATGATGGAAATGGAGAGATTTTCTTCATCCTTCCAAGTGGTGCAGAATGTTCATCAGACAGGTACAATATGGAGGCCTAGGCTGTCACCCTGCAGTTTCATGTGGTTTCCATGGTAACTAGTGGCGGTCATAGGCAGCGGCAGCAGTGGGAGGTGCGGAGCCCCGGGATGTGGCACTATAATAATAAGGGGAACCTGAAAGTTAACACAGGAGAAGAATGGACTGATTGAAAGGACATACAGTAAAATAAAATAAGAGAGAAAGAGAAAGAAAAGAGAAAGAGAAAAAGGCATATTAAAAGGAATGGGGACTCATTCGTGTCCAATCTAGAAAACAGAGGATACTATAGGGACCTTATCTATAGGTGAAATGCTAGAATATTGGAAACCTATGTTTTCTGCATTATCTAATACTAGTCATATAGAAAGAATTCTGATGTAGTGGTTTGCATCCTGGATTCTAGTTTGATTCTCTGGAGTATGCTCAACTTGTCTAATAATCATCCTTTGCATGCATCCATAGAAGTAATTCTAAAAGTCACCCTAGAAATGTAAAATATCACACTGACAGTCCCCTTGAGCTTATTACAGTTCAAAGTAGTGTATACAATTTTCTTGCTTAAGATATTGCTCCATCTGCATGCTTTAAGAGCTTGTGATATGTAACAGGGCTGACTTGGTTTCAGCATGGCTTCCTGCCAGCGGGAGCACTCTTGGTAGATAGCAGTACTCCACTCAACAGGATGGGGCCCTCCTTTTAAGTAGTTACAAAAGGTCTCCAAAGCTTCACAGCAGATGTTTGGGGAATAAGGCGCTACAGAAGGAGGGGAGAGTTGGCAAAGAAAGCCCCCTCCTCGATTCCACTAATGGAAATGCTTTGTTGGATCAGAACCCTTCTAGGGATAAGAGAGGAGCCCTTCCACCCATGGAAGGCAGATCTGGATCAAACTCTTCATATTTTCAGATAATGTAGGTTGTTCTACAGTGGAAGGGGGGGGCGGGAAGCAGTGATTTTATTCTTTATATTGCACCAAGCTGGTGGCCAGTTAGAATAACCTTTTTAAAAAAAGCTTTATTGGTTGTTCGGGTATGTGCAAATTCAGGGAAAGATGATGTGAAGAACTTGAAAACAAAGCTAAAAAGCTGTCAGTGAAAACTGCTGATTACGATTCTGGCATTCCTGAACAAAGTAGACAGGAACCAGGATGGGTTAAAACATTTCTTTTGTCCAGAGCATTTTTGATGATGATGTTAAGGGTAAGGATGATATTTATTTTTTAAGATTCCAATCTGAGTAAATAAACAAAAAGCCCAAATATGATGCACTATGAAATGCCATATGCACGAAGTACAGTTTGTTTAAGATGGTAATAGCATATCAGTTGAGCAAAACTGGCAAGTACACTGGTCCATTTTAGGGGATTTATGGGGAAAGTGTGTTTAATCATCCTTAAAAAGCAAAAAGGTTCTGTTTCACAGTGGATTTAGATCAACACTTGTTGCACAAACCTAGTAAAAAAAATTCTATAGAACCTTAATGTAAAACATATTGTACAATCTTTAATTGATTAATCGTTACAGCAATTCTGGGATAAGAGAATTAACCTTCCTTAACATTTTAAGATAGGGAGAATTGTTGCTTCTCACACAAATTACCAGGTGAACTGAAACTTCAGCCTATGTCAATTTCATTCACACTAGCTCTCTATTAAAGTGCTTCTAGACTCTTCTCAATTTGCTGTCAATAAAACTGGACTAAAGAAATGGCCCTGTTTCACAGAATATGTGAAGAACTAACTGGTCAGGTGTTCAGATTGGTGAAGACAGGCTAGAAACAGGGCTAGAAAGAATAGCCATATTAAACAGATAAGCCACCATGGTTTGTTGGAACAATATCCATAGGTGGTAGGCATTCCTAGGAAAACAATTCTTTATACGCTCGAGTATCTGATGTGTTTACATGAATAAGGGGCTAATCAAATGCATAAAAAGGATAATGCTAATGAAGAAGGCCCACTAGGAATTAAAAGCTCTTGTCTGAAATCTGTTTCATATTAGGATAAATGGCTCTGTAAATAACCATGGAGCCTACAGTAAACAGTGGTTTCCAGGAGGCAGCACACTTCAGAAAAAAAAACCTTGCATAGTGTCCCTAATCCCAATCAGAAAAAAAAAAACATTCTGGATCTGGGGCCTATGGTTGCTTTTCTTCCAAAATGAAAATGGTTATGTCAAGCTGTGTCAAACATGGCTGGTCTTCTGGCAGACAAAGTTGGCCAGGGTTTGCAAGTCAATGCAGGTAAATCATAAGCTCATACGACAAAAGTGGGTATGATGAAATCATTAGGGGTTGTCTGTTTATATAAGGGGGAGTCAATAATATCTTTGTGTGTGGACATCTTTCTAACGTATATTGACGGTAGATTCAGAAAAGACATCACATCGATCATCTTGGGGTTAGGGTTAATTAACTCTGCTGTAGTTGAATTCCTCACCTTATCCTGTAAAGCTGTTATGAGCAACTGCCTGCTGCTAAAGATCGGTAGACCCTCCCTGGTCAAATTGTCCAGTCTCTCCTTGGAAGGATCCAGGGTTCTCCATGGCCTCTCATTTCAATACTCCTATTGTGCATGCACATGTGTGTGTCTATGTGATTCACAAATAAGAAAAATAATTGCTGCAGATAGCATGGCTCTTAAGACAATTACATGACAAAAGCATCATTTCTAACAACGCACAAACTCTTCTTTTGTAGCACAAGGAAATCAAATTTGAAGCAGTGTCATTCCATTAGCCATGCTGCTTTTCTCTCTTCAGCCATTTTTCCTTTCACATTCCATCTTTATAGAATGCAAGTCTAAGGACTGTGTCCATAACTGGATGTAGCTGACCTGAGTCAATCTTCAGATTAGTATTAAAGCAACACCTTGTCAATAACGTTCCTTTGGTATCCTCCTAGCTATGGTTCAGGTCAGCTAAAGTCTGAGAACAATGCTGCACTGGAAGACGACTATTTAAATATTTTTGTTATGAGCAGTCAGCTTGAGAAGGTGGCTGAAGAAAACGAGTTAAAGGCACCTTGTTGGTATAAATGATTAGAGCACCCTCAGCTTATTACCTGCCAGAAGAGATTAACTGGCCTACTGGCAGCTATAGGCCTGGGGAGAATAAACTGGGACTAGATCTCTGAATCTCCCCTGGATGTATGTCAATATCCTTCCTCTGAATTCAGCTGAGAGGAGGATGTGTAGGGACACAAAGCAGGGCACATCCACATTCCCCAGAGAGATAGAAAAATATAAGGAAAAGAAAACAAAGACAAACAGAAGGGAGAAAGTGAGAGATGGAAGGGTACGCAGCAGGTCAAAAGAGTTACTCACTTAGTAATGCCGGGTTGCTGAACCTCCAGGCCTCATTGTAGGTTGTGTACTGAGGGTGGCTGTAAGGATTTCCTGAGAATTCACTCCCTAGAATGAGCACAGGAGGGCAAGTCATTCCGTGAGGCATGTTATGCACTGAGAGAGGGAGGCAAAATAGTGACAATTCCTGACAACTTCTTTATCATTATTAGTTATATTTATATCCCACCTTTCCTACAGTGAGCTCAATGTGACATACAGAGCCATCTACCTCTCTATTTTATGCCTACAACAACCCTGTCAGGTAGACCAGATAAGAGAGAGTCATGGGTCCAGGGTCACCCAGTGAGTTTCAATGGCTTAGTGAGGATCAGTATGTGGATTTCTTAAGTTCAGACCAACATTATCCATTTCATCCCACCAAATCTCAAGGGAGATGATATATGACACAAAACTAATTTGTTTGCTTCTCTAGCACATTAATTTAATTCACTTCAACATGATGCAACATGGACTGCAAGAAAGAAAACAAGTAGGTCCTAGATCAAATCAAGTCTGAACTATCTCTGAAGGCCAAAAACTGAAGCTGTCCTACTTTGAGCACATTGTGAGAAGACAGGATTCTTTGGAAAAGGCAATAATGCTGGGAAAGGTGGAAGGCAGCAGAAAAAGAGGAAGACAAAATATGAAATGGACTGACTCCCTAAAGAGACCACAGACTTGAGACTGCAAGAGCTGAGCAGGGCGGCTGAGGAGAGGACATTTTGGAAAGCACTCATTTATAGGGTCAGCAAGAGTCTTTGGTAACTTCACGGCACATAACAACGTGATGTCAATAACAACATTTCCATGGACTCCCTTCAATTTCCCTTCTTTCTACATTGACTTCCAAGCCGATTTCATCTTCACTGAGCAGTAGTAATACAATGCAGACATTAAAATGTTACCTTGGGGATGCCATGATATTTGTGAGGATTTTTATACCTATACTGTAGTAACAAATTGTGAGATAGAAGGAGGGAAATTACAAAGAACTTCATGGAAGTTCAGTCTCAGCAGAGCTGCAGTAAGAAAGGGATGTGCTCTCTCCAAAGACAAGTCGAAAAAGCTATGTATTTGTTAAAAAAAGGGAGGGTCAGTGGCTCCATTTCCATCTCTACATTGTCACCCTCAATGGTTCTCAGTGATTCTGAAGTACAGGTTAAGTAGAGGAGAAAGAGCTTTTCTCTCCCTCTCTCTCTCCAGAGCAGTCAAGGGGAGCCGGTGAGGGGTGAGGGAGGGAGGCAGAGGCAGCGAGTGTGAAAGGTGTTTATTGAGGAGGAGTGAAAAGAAACGTGCTGCAGGATAATGAGCTTCTGAGCTCAACTGTGACCAGGAGGAACTGAGCTATCTCCTTCCCAGATCACTAATGAAACACATGTAATTTCCTCATCAACCCTGGATTTTGTTTAACTGCGCCATTTCACAAGCAGCCCTTGGTTGTGACCTATCCTCTGTTGGTCCTGCACTTTCTCTGACAAAATCTAGGCTATTCCAGGGGGAGATAATGCCAAGAAGGAATAAAAGAAAAAGAAAAAAGAAGGCGGCCAGCCAAATGAAACACAACAATGTTCAAACAGGAAAGGGATCCCTAGACATTACCGGCTGTGCCCCACTAGCCCAGAGTCACTCCTACAAACAAGAGGAGCTTCACCCTTTCAGATTCTGGCCCCATAGGAATGGACTGGCAATCCCATTTTTCAGGGAGAAACTGGGTAGCCACGCTGTTTTCAGATTCAGATACTGGGATTTAAACAATATTTCTAGGCACAGGAAAGAAGAGAATAAGTAAATAATAAGTGCCATCCAGTTCTTGGGATAAGGCAACTTCAAGAGCCTTTCTACACTTCAGCATCCTGACAAGTTGCCATTTCACCTTCTGTTATATTTGTTTGATACCTTGGGTAGGTCTAACCAATCTGAATGTTCACTTTATTCAATTCCTAATAAATGGGCATCATGCTTAGAAGTACTGGATTCCTAGTATTTCCAAAATGTTTTTTAACATTTCAATATCACTCAAGTGCAGATACTCCTACCCCACTATCTCGTCAGCAATCATGTGGAGTGGGGTTTATGCAGATCTCATTCCTTCCAAAAGGAAGAGGTTACAGGCAGAAAATCTTTCAGATTTTGTTTCCTTTGAATGGTACTTTCTACCAAGCTTCCAGAATGAAACCCTCAACTTTCAGGATACCCTCCGGCAACAAACAGGCTAGGTAATGGGTAGGTAGATGAATGTGTGTTTCAAATTGCAAACCTATGTTTTAAAAAATATATATATTTACGTTAGCCTCTCCTCTTTGACACGAATCAACCATCAGCCAGTCAATCCAAACTACTGATCAGCAACCCATTCAGCCATATGCCCAGAATATGGAAATATCTGCATAAAGCCACACTTAAGTAGCCATATATTAAGCCTGCCTATACTGCAGGCCTATTAGTTTTCATGGAAAAAAGTGATTCCTATGAATGCCACATATAATGTTGGAAACAAGCCTTTGAAGACTAATAATCCACTAGTTGCAGTTTAATGGGGACTTCATTAATTGAGAAGAGATGTGGAATAAAATATACAAAATGTTCCATATTCCTTAGTCTCATGCTGTGTCCCCAGAGCATTAGATAAAAAGCAATACTGAAATAGACCTTTGTCATCTTGATCCAGGCCTGTATGCCTATATTCCACAACAATTAGAAGCGTTGGTGGAAAAACAGAATGATTCGCTCCATTGGAGAGAGTATTTGTGGTTGGATGATAGGGGTGCACTGGGTTGTCCCAATACCGCCCACCTCTTTGCACACCTCCAAGATTGGTCCTAGAAGTCACACACACCCCCACAGAAACTGTCATGAGCTTTTGCCTATCTTCTCTGCCCTCTCTCCAACTACGTTATCCTCTCTTCCTTTCTTTCCTTGTTTTACCTGCTCACTGTTCCCATACCTTCTTCTCTTTCCCGCAATGCTTTCTAATTTTAATTGTTTTGCTTTTGTTTTCAAGTTTCACTTCTGCACTATGCAGTAAAAGTGGTAACATTTTTTTTTGAAAAATGGAAAAGCAGGAACCACTTCTTTTCCAGGAACCACTGATACTTTCTCTGCCATCATTCTCACCTCCGTTGCCAACTCACTGCTCTCAAACAATCACCTTTTGGATATAATTTCCAATTTTATTCTTGTTTGGTTTCAGCTTTTACTTTTGCACTCTATGGGGCAAAAGTGATAACATCAAAAAAATTACAGGAACCATATCTCAAAACAAACAAAAAACAACGAACAGGAGTGGCACAAGAATGTGGATGGATATAGACTGATCAGTTTGAATACACCCATAAGCAAATGTTATCAGAAGATACATACTGTACCCACAAAGTGCATAGATCAGCATGCATCAATGTGGCACTAGGGTCCACGTGAGCACATGCACTGGAGCAAATCACAACAAATCAGAATAAAGCATACCACCAACTAGCATTGGTGTAAAAAAAAACCCTGGCAATCAAGTTTTTTGTCCCACTTTAACACTGTTGACACTAGTTTCAGCCCTGTGCTATGTTGACGCTGGAATTAAGTACCAGTATCATAAGTGCAAGGAAAGCTGAATAAACACTTCGTGCGGACAGGGACTTACACAACTGACAAAATCCAAAATCAATAAATATATAATAACTGTAAGAAAAACACTGCTTAAATAATCTAAAATAGTGAATAAAATTTAAAATAATCAGTAGATAAATCTAACTGAAAAGCAGTATACATAGAAAAGTGAGAGGGGAATATCTTTGCTGCTCACCCAGAGGTTATTCTTGGAAACCAGCCCAATTTTTTTTTAGCACCACCACAGGAAAGATCTTCTCTCCTGTGCCCACAAGCTGTATATTCAGTGGGAGGAGAGCTTGGAAAAGGCCCCTGTAGTAACTGGGCAAGCTCATAATACGTTGGTGGTGAGATAGGAGATATGATTCCTGAGATCACCAAGTAGGAATGGAAAACAAATTTGTTCAGTTTGGTTTTTCTATTTGAAACTAAACTACCCAGTTTGTACCTCCTAATCAGACCTGAACTGAAATGTATCTTATATCAGAAATCCACATATTTTTTAGGCTCATCGAGCAATTTGAAGGGAAAAAAAATATTCTCAAAGGCTTTCATGCCTGGGATCTAATGGTTATCGTGGGTTTTTCGGGCTCTTTGGCTGTGTTCTGAAGGTTGTTCTTCCTGACGTTTTGCCAGTCTCTGTGGCCGCCATCTTCAGAGGACTGGAGTAGGAACTCTGTCTATGCTCTGTTGCAGAACACGGCCATGGAGCGTGAAAAACCCACAATAACAAATGGAAAAAAAATACTTCAACCTATGTGAACTTTCAAAAAGTACACTTCTAAAATGTCTCCTTTAACAAAAAACAATGCTTCAGTCAATTCAATACTGTATATACAGTAGTTCAAAATACTGTATATTAAAACCTCCACACATTTCCATGTGGGACAGGAGAAAAAGGTCTCACAAACCAGTAAGGAACTGGGATGAAATTCTCAGGCAGGACTGAGAATGAGACAGATTTTCACATTTAGAGATGTAAATTACCATCTTGAATTAAGCAAATCAATAAGCAATGTGAAGTGTAAAGGATATAAACAATATGTTCTGACCTACTGAGTCAGGGGTGCAAATGGCTGAAGCCAGGTCTAGTTAGGATGGTGGTGAGCTGAACACAGTACAGGTGTTCCTTTGCTCATCAGCATCACTAGCAACAGTCATCCAAGAGCAGGGACAGATGAACAAGCTGGACTTCATCCAACTGAGACTGTATGCCTATAGCCTATATTGCCAGATCCATCAACCCACAGTGACTCCTCACTGCCTAGATTAAACCTCTGTCTGTTCATCCACACACAATTCAAAATCATTGCAGTCCTAGTTCAGGGCTTCCACCACCTGTCTGGGATAAGATGGAAGTGAGAGACAGAACCGAGTGTCATATGAGACTGGTGAGAGCTTAATCCAAATCTCTGGATGATTGCACCCCATGATTTCATATTGATATCAGCTGAAATCCTGTTGTTTATCATAGTAAATTACACTAGAGTGAGCACACTAGATCAGTGGGGATTTGGTGAGTCAACTCCTCTGTAAGTTCATTGATTCATTGGACCTACACTAATTGTAATTTACTACACGAAGCAACAGGGCTCTGGCCAGTGAACAGCAGGAGAGCAAGATGGATCCTTGTAGCATATTCCATATTCTCAGGGCTCCAGGATTTAAAATAAGATTTCTAGCTCCATCTGGACAAGATGATCTAGAATGATACTGCAGTCCACAGCATTAGATATCTCTGAAAATAGCAACTGGATTGCTGTCCAGGCTTCCACTATAATAACCAAGGGAGTTTTGATTCCGTAACCAGTCCTGACACCAGACTGGAAAAAAATCATTATAATCGGTATCACTGAAGAAAGCCTAGGGCCGACTCATCCCTTTATAAACCAGCACTTTGCTAAGAAGGCAAACATGAATATTGAGCACACTATTTTCCTATTTGATGAAAACTGAAGTAACCACAAGTCACATAAAAGAGAACTTACCAGGCACCATTCCTGCAAGAGTTGAGGTTGGGTAGCTGCCCTGTCCAGTTGGTGGAACATGGGGTGGGTAGCCAGGCAAGGTAGTGCTGGCCATGTCACGACCTATCATGGGAAATAAATTAAATTGAATTAAATATTGGAGAATTGACCAGTGTGACAATTAAGACTCCCTTACTCAAGTTTCACTTCAGCTTTGAATTTGTTGGGTGGTCACAGGGAAATCATTCCCTCTCAGCCTCGGTCTTCCATCTACAACAGTTTCCTTCTATCTGGATATCTTCAGATGTCTTGGACCACAATTCCCACTAGCTTTCGAACTTTCCCCTTGGATTAATTAAAAATGTACCCAAAGGACATGGGAAATTTTACAAAGTCAGTCCAAGGGTTTAGAAAAATTACCCCTCACCTCCCCCCCCCACACTGGGGAACATGTGTTCCTTTACTTGCTGCTGTATAAAATAATGGGCCAGCTTGAGAAATGTTGGTGGGTAAGTGAGGAGAGATCATCCTCTTACACAGGGAGTTATTCTCTGGTCTCAACAGCACAGCATTTCCCGACCATCCCTAACTAAAACACAGAGAGGACTAAGGGGGTGGGATGGGGAAGTCACACTAGCCTTCAAAACTTCTTGGAGAATGGCCCCCCTTCCATCCTGTGATACTAACTTTGCACACTTTCTGCCTACATTTAGAGATAAACAGAGATTGCTTGGGAGTAGCTTTAACAAAGGGCAAACTTGAGCAGGGGTACTTATAGGACTGCACCCACTCCACCACAGGGGTACTTATAGGACTGTACCCACTCCATTACATTCCATGGGAGCATTTTGATCAGGCGGTTTTTCTCTGGCTTGTATTTTATTCTGAGCAGGAGAATAATTCTAGAATTCCAGGACTGGTAAAATCTGAAGTTCTCCTCTAAACATGGTTCAAGAAAACTTTTATGATATTTCTAAGTGGTCACTACAGTTCCTGTACTCAGTATATACGGTATTTTGCACAGGCAAACAGAAGTTGCCCAACATACGGTGTTTGAGGAGCTTCATGGCTCAGCATGTCCTGATAGCCTCAAGGATACCCCCAGGAGAAAGGAATAGTAAATGATATCTGAGTATTTTCTACCTAAAAAATGTTGAAAAGGGTCAACATAAGCCAGAATTAATTATGATGATGATGAATATGTACAAACTCCTTTAGTGTCCTGTATAACATCATACCTCTTCCTCAAGGTCTCCAGTTATTTCCTCTAAGGGTAAGTTCAAGTTATCTATCATTTAACATACCTAAAACCATTCCTTCAAAATAAATCTACAAAATCTCAAACGCTGAGTTCTGAGCACAACACACAAATTGACACAATTCATACCAAATATAAGCATTTTGAACTACAAGGACAGAATTTGTCTTATTTATCTGCAGTGTTTTCTTTATAGAACTTGGCATGTTAAAATGTTTACAGATAAAAATGGTAAAATATACAAAATATTACCTATTAGCATAATTATAAACATTTATACAAAAATTTGCTCTTTCACGGATTGCTGCCTTGTCATGGTGAAGGGGCTGGAGTAATTCAGAGAAGCTATGGGCTATGCCATGCAGGGACACCCAAGATGAACAGGTCACAGTGGAGAGTTCTGACTAAACGCGATCGACCTGGAGCAGGAACTGGCAAGCCACTCCAGTATCTTTGCCAAAAAAACTCCATGGACAGAAACAAAAGGCTAAAAGATATGATGCTGGAAGATGAGTCCCTCAGATTGGAAGGCGTCCAACATGCTACTGAGGAAGAGCAGAGGACAAGTACAAGTAGCTCCAGAGCTAATGAAGTGGTTG